TGACACATTTTCCAGGGATGGTTTTTATTTGGGTCCCTGTAATTTTCAACTTTAATTTTATGATTAATTTATTGGCTCTAGGTCTTTAGCCAAGGTTCGTTCTTGATTTCTCTGAGACTCACTTTCCCCATCAGCACAGTGCTCACCATTTTATTTGTTTTACATTATTTATTGAGCAACTACTATGTGCCCAGAACTTTCTAAGTTGTGAAAATACAGAGGTGAGTAAGATTTCATGGAGCTCACATCCTAATGGGAAAAGACCAACGATAGATTAGTGCTATGGATATATCATTCTTATTCATCACCTCAGTATGAAAAATAAACAGTTTTTTAAGTATATTTCTATCTAAATGTTATTTAAAGCTCTCATGCCTAGAAACTTTACGCAGATGACTTTGGTCTCTCCCCATCTCTCCCCTGCCATTTCACGCGATGCTATGGGCATAGCAACAAGCTCCTCATCTTTGAGTCTTCTCCACCAAAACACTGAGTTTTCTTTTTCTTTTTCTTTTTTTTAAGATTTCATTTATTTATTTGAGAGAGAGAGCACAACCAGGGGAAGTGGCAGGCAGAGGGAGAGGGAGAAGCAGGCTTCCCAACGAGCAGGGAGCCCAATGTGGGACTGGATCCTAGGACCCCGGGATCATGACCTGAGTTGAAGGCAGACGCTTAACTGACTGGGCCACCCAGGCGCCCCCAAAACACTTGAGTTTTCATGCTGTCTCTTCCTCCATTGTTGATGGCCACGTTATTGCTGAGACAGCCTTCATTCCTACCTGCGTGGCCTCTTCAGGCCCAGCGGGCACTCTGCTATATCCAAGCTACTCTTGAAGCCATAGAAGTAATTCTGCTTCTTACAAATGATGCTGAGGCCCAGAAATCTCAAGGAGGCTCTCTCTGACTGAAACACCTACATGCTCCATGCATCCGTTTGCTCTTTGGGATCCTGATGCCCCCTCAGGCCTCTGTCTGAGATTGAAGATACAGGTTTCCATTTCTGTCAGGTTCTGCTGACACACTCTGTAGTCTCTACTTCTCCAACACCAGGGAAGCCAAGAGCAGGGCCTGTGTCTCTGAGACACGGTGAATCTTCTGCCCTCATCGAACCTCTCCCCATTTCCCTCCTAGATAATAAAATGAGAAATTTTTTCTAATCTAAGGCAAACCTTTAAACTCTTAAATTCTGTATCTTTCACACATTTTGGTTATATCCCAAATCCTCTCTATGTCTTCTTTTCCCCAGAGGTTCTAAGGCAAGGAAATGGAATCTGCCTTTGGCCATGGGCCACCATACTGGTTGCTATTCAAATGTGTCTTGTTTCTGTCCGTAGTTTCATCAGGTAGCGCTCTCTGCTATTTCTGTACCCTCACGCGTGGCATAGGAGTAGTAGAGAAAGCCTCATACCTCCCTGGAGTCATGCAAGCTCCCCAAGATGCTGCCTATGAAGCGGAGGGCAGGCGTCTCTCCCTGGGCCCTGTGGAAGCCTCTGTTTTATTCGCTCGCCTCCCGCAGATTTCCTCCTCATCTGGAGGGAAACCCCCTTTCATCTCACCCCGTATTTCTCCCAAACATTATGGCTGTTCCCCAGTAGACAGGGCTGTAGGAAACCAGCTAGAGACCCAGGCTATTCTGCTTCTCATTTTGTCTCCTCTCTCCTGGGGGCAGCGTGGTGAAGCAGTCACTGGACTTGAGAGAAGTGAAGTAGAGCAAAGACAGCTGAGGGGGTGGGCAATTTCAGGAGGAATAACACACTTTAAAGAGTATTGTACAATTTTAACCCCCCACGCAAGTCGATAAACAAGAACTGATTGTAAGAAGCGCTTTGAAGAAAGAAAGTGTGATGGTGTGGGTGGGATGGAGAGTGACCAAGTCAGTGTCACCTTCTCCAAGAGCTCTGCATATGCATCCTTCAGACTGCCTTGTTAAATCCTTTCCAGCGGCATCCAGGAAATAGTCTGTTCCTCTGGGCTGCTGAACATCTTGCTCACTCTTCATGTATAATCCTAAAAAAAGGTAAGAATTCAGATCGGAGGACCAACTACCACTCACAGGTCAAATCCAGCCTGTTACTTGTTTTTGTAGTGATCGTGAGCTAGGATTGGTTTTTATATCTTTAAGTGACTGAAAAAAAATAAAAATGAAAAATGACTTGGGAAAATTCTATGAAATTAAAATTTCAGTGTCCATAAATCAAGTTTTCTTTGAATACAGCCACACACAATCATTTATGTATTATCTGTGGCTGGTGTCATGAGCGGGCATGGCCAGAAAAAGCTAAAATGTTTACTGTTTGGTCCTTTACAAAAAGAGGTTGCCTGCAGCTCATCTGAATGATCAGGTTCCTGCTTGGTCTGGTACAACCCATCTTCTCATCCGGAGTCCCTGCCCGCGTGTAGAACTGCCAATATCAAGTTTGTAAACCTAGGAATTCATTTTGCAAACATCGGTTTTAGAGGCTGTTAACATTTTGAATTGGAATTTAAAGTCCTCAAATGATCCTTTTTGGTCTTTTGGAATACAGGTTCTAATATGTGACTTTGGGAAGACAAATAGCTACTGTTTGTTGAGCCCTTACCTTGTGCTAGACATTAATAGATACACGGCATGTGTGTTACTTCCATTTAATCCTCATAAAATGTCTACACAGTAGTTACTACTCGTATTCCCATTTTACAGATGATAAAACCAAGACGCAGAAGATTTGAGTCATTCACCAAACATCATCCAGCTCATTATAGGTGAAGTCTGGATTTGGACCCAGATAGTCTGGTTCCAGAGCCCACATTCTTAATAACCGTGCTGAATAGGGATATGGAAGGAGATTCAAAAAATGCTGTTTCCAATATAACATTTAATTCAGACTATAAACTTTAAACTTTGCCTTATAAAATACTTCCATGGGGGAAAATGGATTCACAGTACAGTTACTAGTATAAGTTATCGAAGTAGCAATTAATCATTTGCATCTGTTCTAATTTTGTGGTTGACACAGCATTCTTTTAAGATTTTATTTATTTATTTATTTATTTATTTATTTATTTATTTATTATTTGACACACAGAGAGAGAGAGCACAAGCAGGGGGAGCGGCAGGCAGAGGGAGAAGCAGGCTCCCCACTGAGCAGGGATCCTGATGGGGGCTCAATCTCAGGATCCGGAGATCATGACCTGAGCCAAAGGCAGACGCTTAACCGACTGAGCCACCCAGGCATCCCTGACAAAACATTTTTAGGTACATTAACTGGTTTACAACCCTGTGAGATAAGCAACTCATTAGCTCCATTTTACAGATGAAAACCAACAAAACTGAGGCTTCGTAGGATCATGTATCTAAGAAATGATCGACCAGGAACTTAAACTCAGATCTGATTTCTACTCCAGAATTCTTTGCATTATGCCTGTGTTAGGCAAACTTACATGACTTTTGCCCAATTTCTACTCCAGCTACACAGTTAATCACTTAGTAACTTTCTTGAAATGGATTCTTTGGGACTTAAGTACCTGATTAGCCCTCACAATAATATACATAAGCAGTAATGTACATAAAATCATGAGTTTGATTCCTCTTTTATTTATCCAACACTTCTGTTGTGCTTACTATATTCCAAACACTTTACAGTAAATATTAACTCCTTTGAGCCTCATAGCAACTCCTGAAGGGTAGAGGCTATTACTGTCCCCATTTTACAGATTAAGAAACCAAAACACAAAGAGTTGAAGTAACTTGCCCAAGGGCATATACCTGCTAAGCTGTGAATCAGGATTTGAACATCATAGTCTAGCTTCCAAGTTCTGTCCTTTGAACCCCTTAAGTTATTTGATATATTCAGTTTATTTTCTAATACATTAAAATAAGTACATCAGTAGTAAAATTTAAAATATTCAGCTGTGTACCATCTGTAGTCATCTTTCATAAAAACTGTATTGTACCATAGTGGAATATGCTAGAATACCCACAACCTCCTGAATATGTAAGAGAGAACACAGTCTCTTAACTTCACTGGACATGTTATTAGGGAAAATAATAATACATGTTAGGACACAAAGTGAATACACAATAACTTACTGGTACAATATGAAATATAAACCATGAAAAACATGGTGCTTTGTTCTTTAATTGGGGGACTTCTATTGTTAATAGGAATTTTAAAATAGCTGTCTTTCCTGAAGAATTTCTTATACAGCACTCTTGTCCTGTGAGCATTTAATTTTTGCTTACACATTTTCAAAATAAGAGAATGTACAACTTCTAGAGGCAGCTTCCTCCACAGCCATCCAGCTCAGTTGTTAAGAGACTGTTTCTGTATTTGATCTAAAACCTGTTTCACTGACCCCTTCATTTATTTAGGTTGGTTTTAAAAGTGTTCTGTGATTCCTTCCTCTTTCTCCCCCTTCCCCGGTTATGTTTGACATAAGCTAAAAATAAAATTAGTTTGCATCCCTCGAGACCTGACCAGCTGCCTGTGGCCAAGCTTGATAGTGCTTGTTAGTGGGAGAGCAGGCTGGGGTTAGAATGTTTCCGTGGACTTCCAGAAATTGAATCAGTCTGCAGAACATCAACGTGATCAGGAATACTTCTGTTTATATGAGTACATAGTCTCACATAGTGGTAAATACACATGTAGCTATAAAGTAATGTGATTTGTCTTAAGTGGAATGTGACTATGTTCTTAATGCAGTTCATAAGAGGAAGTTCCAGAACGGTTTTGTGCTGGAAATGGTATGATTAGAATAACTTCCTAGCATCTCAAGATACCTACTTGAAAGGACGGTAATAATCGGTGTTCCTCAATACTTCTATATACATTACAAGTCAATTTCTGTCATCAGAGTCACCATTATGAGTTGGTTAAGATATTTCCTTAATTTCTATTTTTTTAAATTACATGAGGTGACTAGACGGAGACAGAAGACAGGGAAGAGCTAATGTGTAGGTGTGTCTGTGTCCCACTCGTTAGCATATTTGCATCTTCTGATTATATTCTCCTGTTCCGCAGGCATTTCCTATTCAAAACAGGAACAGGGACAACACCACTGTTCAGCACTGCAACCCCAGGATACACAATGGCATCTGGCTCTGTTTATTCGCCGCCTACTCGGCCACTGCCTAGAAACACCCTATCAAGAAGTGCTTTTAAATTCAAGAAGTCTTCAAAGTATTGTAGCTGGAAATGTACAGCCCTCTGCGCTGTAGGGGTCTCCGTGCTCCTGGCAGTACTCCTATCTTATTTCATAGGTAAGAACACAGTTTAACAGTTACTTTGTCTGTATGTCGGGATGTTATATTGTTGTCTTGTTGGTTTTATCCATTTATGTGGCCAAGAAGTATATTACCAGGTTTATTTTCTGGAGGAGGGATTAGCTAATACCGTATCAATCCGCAGAGCGTCTTCAGTAATCTTCGGGCAAATTTGGATAAATAGAAAAGCTGTATTTGCACAAAAAATGAGGTCTTTTCTTGGCCACAGACTAGAGTGTGGACTTGTGTTTGGCGTATCCCTCTTGGAACATGGGTAGGTCTGTGACATCTCATGTACGCACAGTCACTCGTGCACCTGCAGGAAGGGACACGGCGCAGGGGATGACATCTCATGTACGCACAGTCACTCGTGCACCTGCAGGAAGGGACACGGTGCAGGAGTCCCCTTCGATGCGTATTCAATGGGGAGCTCTCCACCACTGTGCCACGTTGCACACCTTCCAGCGAACTCAGCTATCTAAGTGTAAAACTCATCACTCAGCACCGTCGTCTTGCACTCAGAGCAGCTTGCACTCCCATCATCATCCTCTTGCACTCAGCACTCTCCAGAGAACGGGCATCCATAAAACAATGAGTGGCTCACATACTCATTCATAGATGTGGACTTTTCATCTTTTCTGATGTCGTACTGATCATGGTTTTCATTCCATAGTAACCCCCCATAGTTGTAAATAGTGCTTTTCTTTAACTGTTTAATAACATGTATGAGCATCTGGACTATTGGAAATGGCTTTTGTAAATGCCAGAAACGACCACATCAGATTCTGATCTGTTTGTGAGCGTGGAAAAGGCATTCCACATCGAAATGCTAATGGGGTCCACCGAGATTCATCACCAGCGATATGGTTTACCCAACAGGAGCCATAGCCAGTGATGTGTCCTCAAGTTTATAATGCGATTTGTGATGCCCATGAAATTCTAGAACCGAATACAAGTATCACGGAGCCGTATATAGAACAGTATGATGCTTTTGCCGTGAACCTGTTTCTGTCATTCGCTACCATACTCCTTATAAATGATGTATTTGGGGAAGTGAAATAACCATTTTGAATCACAACATTTAAGAGCAATACAGAATGGTAAAGCATAAGGGAATTTTAGAGATAATTGAGTCAGGGATGGCAACTCTGGGGCGTGTTGTATACTGTAACTTCCAGTTCTTTGGCCATGGCAGATATCAGTAATGAATCAGGGCACTCCTTCCCACTGAGTCTGGAGACAGCCTCATTATCCCCATCACTGTGCTTCATACACCGTCTCACAGAGCCACTGTCCGTCAGAGACGAAACCTTCTTGCCATTTTTCAATCTGAGTTAACTCCCTCCTCGTAAAAATGCTCCAGCCAGGTATCACCAGGGTTATTGTTGCTTGGCCAAGATCCCACACTCATGAACCAGCACTACGCTCTTTCATAACTCAAGGTAGATAAGGAATATCACAACAAAAAATCGGTATTCAGAGACAGATTTCTAGTATTCAGCTAGAAAATACCTAGCCATTAAGAGAATCTCTTCTAGTTAGTTGTATAAATTACCTGTATCTGTCAGTGGTGTGCTGCTAAAGAATTTTAAAAGGTTCTGAAATGCACCAGGCATAAATGGGATGTAATAAAATAAGCATACATATTTGTTGGGGATTTTTTTTACCATGGTACATGCCAGACAGATCGAGAACTGTGTGGGGCTGGAAGTCAGGGTCTGTGTTTTTGCTCTGTTGTTAGGCGTCCTTTCTGGTCGCCCTACCAGATGTGCAATATTTGGAATATCAGTTCTTTTTTTTAGAGATTTTTATTTATTTATTTGAGAGAGAGAATGAGACAGAGAGAGAGAGCATGAGATGGGGGAGGATCAGAGGGAGAAGCAGACTCCCTGCCGAGCAGGGAGCCTGATGCGGGACTCGATCCCGGGACTCCAGGATCATGACCTGAGCCGAAGGCAGTCGCTTAACCAACTGAGCCACCCAGGCGCCCTGGAATATCAGTTCTGATACCATGTAGTTTTATTTACAGTGGGTACTAGCAGAAAAAATAGCATTTTTTAAAAAAGATTTTATTTATTTATTTGACAGAAAGAGAGAGAGACAGCAAGAGAGGGAACACAAACGGGGGAGTGGGAGAGGGAGAAACAGGCTTCCTGCCGAGCAGGGAGCCCGATGCGGGGCTCAATCCCAGGACCCCGGGATCATGACCTGAGCCGAAGGCAGACGCTTAACGACTGAACCACCCAGACACCCCGGAAAAATAACATTTTAATATGAGATTAGCTCCCTGTTATTTGTGAGACTTGTCCTCCTTTCAAGGGCCCCTTAGTGAATATAATTAAGTATCAGACTTCTAAGTAAAAACTCAGAATGTTCCTTTTCTTCAAGCTGCCTGTTTTCCTGTTTCGTAATTAGCACGTTATACTTTATTCCACTGTCAGCAACTTGTCCCTCTGATTTTATCCCGCCCCACATGGAAATACACAAATTATATAGTTAATGTACTCAGTTCAACAGGTATTTGTCGAACATTTGTTAGGATCTAGTTCTTGTGCTAGAACTTAAGGTGATGCGATCCAACTCTTCTCTGGCAAAAATTACTTTTATCATCAAAGAATTATCTCAGATTTCCGTTGCTTTAATTAAGTCCAAATATACTTACCATTTTTACTGGTCTTCCTGTACTTAAATGACTAACACACTAATGCAATGATTTTTTCGTTGTAGTTAAAATCAGGTAAAGGATTTGTTCATCAGTTAACACGATACATTTTTTCAGGCCGAAGAGACTGCCTCTACCCTTGAAAACAAGAACAGGGCACTTCTAGTCAGGGAAGGTTGTCCTTTTCTATTGAATGTGGTGTACAGCAGACATAGAGACAAGGGACCCTTGCCTGTCCAGCTTAGATCAGTCTGATAAACCCCAGAATCAATGGGGAGACCGATTTCCTCATCAGATTGACCTCACAACCTTTAACAAAAGGGCAGCCATCCTTACACTTTTTTTCCCCATTCCCTTAGAGGTCCCTTTGCTCATATTGACTGTCAATATAAAGCCAAAGCCTTAAGAAAGAAAGAAAATAAAAAACTTGAGGAATAACTTCTGTTCTTTGTCACCTTCCAGGAAGGTCGTGAGAAGTTAGGAGAATGTAATATTAGCATTTCTCTTCTCTAAGATAAAGTTATCTCAGCGAGTAAAGGTGAATAACTTCTGAAAGGGAGAGAGTGGGGGAGGAGAACAGGCTTTGTTGTTTGTTTTTCCTATTTGTATCAAAATTTCAGAGAATAAGGGAAGAGTGAAAAAGAAAGCGAAAATACATTCCCATAGGTCGCTGTGAACTTTTTGCATAGGTAACCACTTGTTAACTTCTTGGTGTATACCCTTCCAGATATTTGTCCATGCATATGGGTACCAGGCTTTCTCACTTATCACTTATTAAATATCATATGTGTATGATCTTATTTAGTGGCTATGTTTAACCAGTTCCCAAAAATGCAGTGACTATTTTTTTACGTGTGTGTGTGTGTGTTAAGTTGATCAAAATTTTTTATTTTTTTTTAAAGATTTTATTTATTTATTTGACAGAGAGAGAGACAGTGAGAGAGGAAACACAAGCAGGGGGAGTGGGAGAGGGAGAAGCAGACTCCCCTCTGAGCAGGGAGCCCGATGCGGGGCTCGATCCCAGGACCCTGGGATCATGACCTGAGCCGAAGGCAGACGCCCAACGACTGAGCCACCCAGCAGCCCTGATCAAATATTTTTAAAAGATTTATTTATTTATTTTGGAGAGAGAGTGAGTGCATATGCAAGTGGGGGAAGGGGCAGAGGGAGAGAGAGAATCCCAAGCAGACTCCCCGCTGAGCACAGAGCCCCACAGGGGGCTGATCTCAGGATCCTGAGACCATGACCTTAGCTGAAATCAAGAGTCACACCTCAACTTACTGAGCCACCCAGGCACCCCCAGAGTATTTTTTATCAGAATAAATTCTTTGAAAGGGTGTACCAAAATAGTGGGTATGTTTTACATTTTGCAAAACCATGGCCAAATTATCCTTTTTGCACAACTACAAATGCTACTTATTATCAATATTTTTGGCCCTTGACAGTCTCAGGCTGAAACATTTATTGTTGTTTTCATTTATTACTGAGTATCTTTTCATAGACATATTGACCATTTCTAGTTCTGTGTGTGTGTGTGTGTGTGTGTGTGTGTGTGTGTGTGTGTGAATGGTCTAGTTTCCCCCATTTTTCTACTGGGGCTTTTCTCCCTTTGATTTGCAAGTGTTTATTTAGGGTATTAGTCATTTATCATATGTGCTATATATTTTCCAATTTGTTATTAATTTTGCTCATAATTGTTTTGCCATATACCATACAGAATTTTTTAGGTGATTAAATTTATCAGTTTCTCCCTATAATTTCTTCTTTTTTTGAGAGAGAGAGAGCATGTGAGTGCACAAGCCAGCGGGGAGAAGGGGAGGGACAGAGGGAGAAAGAGAATCTCAAGCAGGTTCTGCCCTCAGCGCAGAGCCCAACATGGGGCTCAATCTCACGACCCCGAGATCATGACCTTAGCCAAAATCAAGAGTAGGACACTTAACTGACTGAACCACCCAGAAGCCCCTCTCTATGATTTCTGATTGTCATGTTATACCTTATAAAGTCTTTATTCACTCTAAAGAGTGTTTTTTAAAATTCACGTAAATTTTCTTCTGGTACTTTTATGGTTTTTCCACAATTATTTTTAGGTCAACATTTTTCTGGGCACTCTGATAGATGTTAGAGGTTCAAATTAGCTTTTTTCCAGAAGCTCATGGTCAAGCGACGTACACAAACACACTTTTAAGAGTACATAATTTCATAGCAACTTGAACCTTATGAACAAAAACTAGAAGAGAAAGGAAGGAAAATACCAATCTCTGACTAAAGATGTTGGGGAAAGACTTGATCTGGCAGGTGATGCCTGAAAGATGAAGAAGAGTTCAGTTCACTAGGT